CTTCTTTGCGAGCTAATACAGTAGGCATTTGTCAAGATGTGCCGTGTATGATACTTTTTTATGTTCGGACTAGGCACCAAGTGCGGGCAATACTCGGGGTGCGGATTATGTACCGGGTGCGTACTATTTAAGCAAACACTTATTTTTGACCTCAAATTTGCCCCTGCGGACAATGCACCGGGTGCGGGCTACAGTCCGGAAAATAGTGTACTACAAATTAAGTAAAAAAAAAAAAAAATGAGTGAGGAAGTTTCCTTTTGGTTGGATCTTGCCATCCATCTCTCAAGCTCTCATTTTCTGAGCTATCTTTAGGCATCGGCAAACAAGGGCCGATCTGTGGTTGATAGCTGAAGATAAGAGCGATAGCGCACACAGCAGCTCGGAGCACTTGGAACAAAAGCTCGCACTTTGGAACCCAGAGATCCTGGGATCGGGTCAATACTCGGATCGCGTCTGCTTTTCGTGTTTTGCGACAGATAATGCTGTGCTATTAACTTCTGTAGTCCATTAGTTAGTTTTTTTTTAGGATACACGGGCAGCTGGTTGTACATTTAAAATACCCTCGTAGCTTCAAACACGCAACGCCAGAAAAAAAAAAAAAAAAAAAAATCGGCTTCAGCACGATCAATGGGGTATCGTTTCGCAGGGGGAGCACCACGCGGCAAAACCGACCTTCCGACACTAAGTTTGACGCTATGGGCAGTCGATTTTTTTTTTTTTTTTTTTTTTTTTTGTGCACAAGCAGTCAGCACAATTAAGGGGACACTGCCAGGGCATTTTTGCTCGCCGAGGTTGTTTTTTTTTTATTTGAACATGACCCATGAGAGCCCAACTACCCAGAACATAATTTGCGGCTCGAAATTCGCTTTCTTTCCGCCCGGAAACAGCCGGTCCAGAATTGGCCGGTTTCAGTCGCGCTCGCTTCCTTTTCCATGGTAACGCGGCGTTGTGGTCCCATTGAACTTTTCAGAAACTCACTTATAACTTTTGAATAAGGTATCGGATCGTGCTGAAACTATGGCAGCTGATAACACACACCACAGCGCACTATAGCAAATAACACTCACACCTTACACACGAAAAATAAAGCAAAATTCAAACGAACCGCGCTGACTGACAACTCTTTTTATATAACTTTGTCTTCTTCAACCTCTAGCACCACCGAATTTCCCAATTCACGCGCACCGATCTCCTAGATGCCTAAAAGTGTTTTCTCTTTTTCTGTCAGGTGTAAAGATGGTGTACTTATACAGTTGTTATAGTTCCTGGCGATATGTTCTGCTTCGATAATTTCTCGAGTTAATTGGTTTCTGTTCCTGCCTAAAATTGTACAGGATGGCAAGTGAACGTCGCACCCACAATCCCGGCAGTGTATGCCTAGATGCCCTGAGTTGGCTCTGGAGCTGTTGTTGTTGTGTTCCCGGAGCCTATCGTTAAGGCATCGGCCGGTCTGACCAATGTACACTTTCCCGCACGAAAGGGGAAATAAGTACACCACTTCATCGGCACACTCAACGAACCTGTTCTGATGGTTTTTGGTGCAGCATACTGTTCGGTGGAAATCAGGTGAGTTGACTTGTTTACACAAGTTGCGAAGCTTATTGGGAGCAGTAAAGACGACAGTGATGTTGAACTTGTTTGCAATTTTCTTGATTCCATGGGAGAACCTGTGGAAGTATGGAAGCACGACAGGTCTCGTAGATCTTTCTCTGGCTCTTGGTGTGATATATGATGTCGTATTTTTTGTTTTCAAGATGCTCTCAGCAATCGATGTTAATAATGACGTGGGATATCCGGCGGATGTTAATCTGGAAATTTGGGCATCGAAGCTTATTGAAATAGAATGCTCGCAAGATTTTTGAAGAGAGTTACTTAGACATAATTTGACGATTCCTCTTTTTACTAGCTTAGAATGTGCCGAATTGTACGGAAGAATTGGTTTTTTATTCCTTGGCTCATATTTCCAGCATATATGAGTGTGTTGTAAATTGAGCCTGAGATCGAGGAATCGGATTGATCTTTCTTCCGTACAATTCGGCACATTCTAAGCTAGTAAAAAGAGGAATCGTCAAATTATGTCTAAGTAACTCTCTTCAAAAATCTTGCGAGCATTCTATTTCAATAAGCTTCGATGCCCAAATTTCCAGATTAACATCCGCCGGATATCCCACGTCATTAACATCGATTGCTGAGAGCATCTTGAAAACAAAAAAATACGACATCATATATCACACCAAGAGCCAGAGAAAGATCTACGAGACCTGTCGTGCTTCCATACTTCCACAGGTTCTCCCATGGAATCAAGAAAATTGCAAACAAGTTCAACATCACTGTCGTCTTTACTGCTCCCAATAAGCTTCGCAACTTGTGTAAACAAGTCAACTCACCTGATTTCCACCCAACAGTATGCTGCACCAAAAACCATCAGAACAGGTTCGTTGAGTGTGCCGATGAAGTGGTGTACTCATTTCCCCTTTCGTGCGGGAAAGTGTACATTGGTCAGACCGGCCGATGCCTTAACGATAGGCTCCGGGAACACAACAAGAACAGCTCCAGAGCCAACTCAGGGCATCTAGGCATACACTGCCGGGATTGTGGGTGCGACGTTCACTTGCCATCCTGTACAATTTTAGGCAGGAACAGAAACCAATTAACTCGAGAAATTATCGAAGCAGAACATATCGCCAGGAACTATAACAACTGTATAAGTACACCATCTTTACACCTGACAGAAAAAGAGAAAACATTTTTAGGCATCTAGGAGATCGGTGCGCGTGAATTGGGAAATTCGGTGGTGCTAGAGGTTGAAGAAGACAAAGTTATATAAAAAGAGTTGTCAGTCAGCGCGGTTCGTTTGAATTTTGCTTTATTTTTCGTGTGTAAGGTGTGAGTGTTATTTGCTATAGTGCGCTGTGGTGTGTGTTATCATGTGCAACCAACTCGCCCAAGCTGCTACGTTAACAATATGGCAGCTGGCTATAGGGTGCCTACATGTCTATCTCTCTGAGGGTGAAGACATCGATTGTTGCCCTGAATGTGCCAGCGCGTGACGCTCTCGCGCACTCGGTGTGTGCCTTGGGCGGTAAAATGGCATCTATGCATTAGCCAAAGCTGCGCGCTCGAGCTGAGTGACACCAGATTGCGCGCGCTTCAAAATGCATAAAAAAACGATTGGGCGGAATAATGGCTGAGATGTCACTACTCAAGCAAAAGCGCGCTTGTGCATGAAGGCACTCTAGCTGGTTATGACCTCTAGCGCTACCTTTGGGCGGAGAATGAGCGTTCGGCAATGCCTAGTTTATTTTTGAAAAAAAAAAAAAAAAAAAAAAACATTTGTACTTATTTTTTTTAGACCCTGTAGTGTGTTATATTTTCATATTAAAAAATTCGAACACCAACCAAGCCCTTCTGTGGGTCCCTACAGAAGGGCTTGGTTGGTGTTCGACAGATCTCTGTCAGATGTTTACTTTAAAAAAGTTATATTTTCATGTGTTGATGGACAAACTGGAGTGGCGCAGGCTGCTCGGAATATGAACATAGACTATAAATTAAAAATGTAGGTTAAGTCTCTGCAGCCACATGTAATTAACTAACGAAGATCCCGACGTTTGGAGGCCAGCTCGGCCCTGCGATCACGGGTGACTGTTTATATCCTTGTCTTCGTCTTTCATAGTGCCCGGTTTTTTCGTCTTCTTTTAATGGGTACCTTTTTTTTCTTCTTTTTTTTGCGCGTTGGTTGCTGACGACGTATCGCTCGACGCATCCCGCATGACGCATCTGCTGGCCTCGAAACGTCGGGATCTTTGTTATTTGTGGTTAGAGACTTGCATTTTACATTTATATGATTCCCAACCAGGTGGATGTCCACCGAAATATTTCCTCTCAACATCCTGTATGTAGTCTTTCTGCACGAGCGATAACCCCGTGAGGGTCTGCTCGAGCAGGGCACGAAGCGGCACCAGCTGTCTCGTGAACTGTCACCTGCCTTCTATGAACTACTGCTATGGCGGCATCATGCATGCGCTTAGTAGAATCAATCTATTAAATGTCCTACATATATATATATATATATATATATTTCGAGCAGTGCGGAGCAACGGGTGTGGGATCCTCAAGTGGGTTAATTCTGCATACTGATCAACTCGGACAGTTTCAAAGCTGAAACGCATCAGGTTGGCTTATGCAAAACTCCCATAAATTATTTGTACTGGTGCTTCAATGTTTATTTGTTAGGGGAAAGATTTTTTTTTTTTTTTTTTTAGGCTAGGGATAAAAAAAACAGATGGCTTTTGGATGATCGTGCCTGGCGGTTTTCAATTCGGAAAGCATCTCCCCCAGAAGCGTCCATACAACATCAAAGTGGTTGACTTTGGTGTTGAACACAGAGAGGCATGTGTGGTGCGCTTCTCGGGGCACTTCCGCCAGGTGGTGAGGGAACCTGAAAGATCATTGCTAAGAAATATTCTCAAACAACGCAAAGGTGTTTGGGGATGGCTTTTGTAGTTCACTGCTATGTATTAAAAATTTTAAATATTTTGTTCTGAGTACACTGGCAGAACGGCTCGTTAACTGATTATCTTTATTGGTACATACCGAAGGATCGACAGCGTTTTTCTGCGGTCTTTCCACCACGGGTATGATTAGTCACTTTCCCGGTCTAAAAGCATATGTGCTTTTAAACATTATCGGACAATAAAATTATTTGGCCGACTGTCTGAACTTCGAGGGTCGGTTAGTGGACAGACATCACAGCCAAGCAATAATTTGGCTGAAACGGTCGCGCAGATTGTAGAAGAAAAGGGATAAGTAGGTCTCAAGGGACAAAAAGAGTAAAAAAAAAAAGTGGATGAATACGACTGAACACTTCCAATCAAGCGACACCTTGTGTCCAACCCTATATGTGTGTTTTGTTGTGTGGTCAAAGTCCAATTAACTAAGTTGATGTAGCACTATTCTTGTTACTACTCTAAATCAATATTTGCTTTGTTTTGCTTTCTTAGCCTGGCACCATTTCCACACCAGGCATGCCATGGAGTCTAACCAAGGGGGTGCAAGGTGTGGTCGAGGCAGAAGGCCGCCACGCAGAGGAGGCTTTGGCCATGGCAGAGGAGGACACACTCAAGTCGGATCTTACAGTGGCCGTTCAAGAGGGACGGCCTCCAACCCGACACGTCGTGACAACCGTGGATCCCGTGAATCACGGGGGTCTGGCAGACCGGTGCAACAAGATTCTAGGCAAGGTGCTTCCTCTGCAGGAGTTCTGAATGCTGCTAGTCTTCCCACCGGACATCGTGTCGGCGAACGTCCATTGCTTACAGGTGTCCAAGGTGCCGAGGGGGAACGGGGCATTGTAAGGCGAACTGAAGTTAATCCTTCCGACGTCGTGCCGCGTCCAGAGCCTTTTGCCTTTCCTTCGTTCGAAGAAATCACAAAAGGTCCGAATGGGAACACCACGGCTTCCAGTAACATCTTTGAGTTTGCTAAGTGTGCCCTGGTCAAGCACACACATGAGCGCTTACAGAAGGCGGTTAGGGAGAAAGTGGTTGCAACCCTTGGACACTTGAGGGTCGTACCTCAGAAGGGTCTTGGACGAACTATCTCTGTAACCATCTCCGATTGTCTCCGTCAAGGGGCAGTTGGGACTACTATTGCGTTACTGGACATGAAGCTTCAGAGCATATTTTATGGAGAGATTGTTCAAGTGGAAACGGAGCAAGTCGTCCTCTTTCACAATTGCGAGGAAGTATTAGATGTTCAACCTACTTACGCTTTCACGATGGTGGACACACAGCTGAATGCTAGCTTTTGCGTGGAGCTTTCGTCTATCTTGGCTCGGAGAAAGGAATCTTCGTTGTTACGCAAACTTTGGCTTGGCGCAAGCGAACGCGATGGCGGGACAAGACTGGTGCAATGTCCAAAATCGCCTGATGTACTCGATCGAAGTCAGATTGAAGCTTTCTGTGCTGGCGTGTCTGAAGAAGTAACTCTTATCCACGCCCCTTCGGGTTGCGGGGCCAAGAGGCTCTTAAAGGCTATGGTCGATTACCTGTGTCTGAATCAACAATCCCTAAGTAGGCATCCTGTGCTGCTCATTGTTCAGAACCCTCTACAGTTGCAAGTGAAGCTAAGGTGGACATCTGACGATGTCTTCAACATGAACTCTGAGCAATCTCATGAGGCAACAAAGACTGCGCAACAATCCTTGCCAGCTCTCTCCACATTAAGGGACATAAAAACCACCCTTGACAAATTACATGATTTGCTACTGCAGATGTATGATGCTGAGACCCGTATCTTACACCAGTCTTCGTTTGAAGGCATCACACGGGCATTCTCTCTGAAAAGAAGCGAAGAAAAAAACCTTCTTGAGGCATGGGTCTTGGATAACGTAAAATACACCGCAATGAAAAGCAGTGTATCCAGAACCGAGTTTCAAAGGTTTCGGGAGCACTGCAAGCGACACCCTGTAAAAAAGGTGGATGCTATTGAGCCCTCGAATGAAGACATTAGCTTTACTTTCAACAGGACCTCACAAGCACGGTCCGGACCATGTCAACAGACGTATGTCCCCTCTGACGAAAATGCTTTGAAAGCAGTCTACGTCTGGAAAACATTGACCAGCACCATTCCCAACGCAGACCTCATGTGTGTTAGAGATGTTCGCCAACTCGAAGTGAGCGACCGTTGGAGGCTGTACAAGCACTGGGTTGTTCTTTTTCTCGAAATGAAGCAAAGAGAACTCAGAGCAACGCTCCAACGCCTCGCGGCTTTCACTAACCAGTATAGGCAAGTTTGGACGGAAGCCAGAGCATGCTTGAAGCCAAGTCAGCCAGTGATTCTGGCTTCACCAGTCATTGCAGTTACTCATCGCTCTCTTCTTGAAGTACTAAGACCGCGCGTGACGATGATCTGCGGTGTCACCGAAATCGAAGACTTCTATGTGCCTGCTCTACTTCCAGGGTATGCCGAGAGGGTGGTGTTCATGGCCGACAGCCTGAACCCTCGTCAAGCTTCGTCTTGCTGGAAGGACTTGCTCGACTCGAAACATTTTAAAGTGTACGACCTGGTCTTCCAGTACTTCCAGTCTCAAGAGGTGTGCGACCTTCTTTCGCCATTTTTGAAATCCAGTCTGGTCTCCAGAAAACCACCGCAGCGGGTGAATGGAATCGGAGAGACAGTACAGTTCTTCAACATTCCCGACATCATCGAGGCCGCTTTCATGATCTCTCGGGTATGCGTACACCTTCAAGCGCATAATTACGAGTCCAGCGATGTAGCAGTGCTGGTGCTGTCGCCGCGGCAAGGTGCCATGAAAGCTTTGAAAGCGGCACTCCTGCAACAGGGATGCAGGTACAGCGTCTGCACTGCCAAAGCCTTCTATCCGAAGCGCTGCAAGATTGCATTAGTCTATCTGGGCCCCGGTTCGCTTGGTACCCAGTTTGCAGCTGCTCTAAGTAGGGTTAGTTTTGCTGTGTACGGCTACGGAGACTTCTCCAAGATTGACGAGAGCTGCCAGAACGTCCTCAACACGGCAAAGGCAAGAACCGGGCATCTTTTTTGCGGACGCTTGAGCCTAACGTGCGTCTGCCACCCTGGAAGAGTGATCTCAGTCGCGTCACGTCAGGATTTCGAGGCGAAGCTGCATGGCGATGGTTTCTGCATAGATACTTCCAGCGGCATTCTGAGGTGCGGACACGCGTGCGAGTTTGTGGATCAGGAAGTGCGCCAGGTTGTTGCTCCGTGTAAGCAACCGTGCGGAAAAACGATTTGTAAGCGCAACCACGAGTGCCCAAACAAGTGTTCGGAGCCATGCAGCCGTCTTTGCACTCAACTTATTACCGAGAAATTACCAATGTGTGGTCATGATGCCACCCTGCCGTGCCACCAGCTCGACACTGTTTTAAACGCACAAAATCGTCTGCTAGACTCCAGCAGCAGCAGCTCGACAAGAAACCAACCCTTTATGGCATACGTGTGCCGTGCAGAAATGACAAAAAAGCGTCCTTGTGGTCACTTGGTTAGGACAAGGTGCTGCGATTTGTTTTTTCATTGCTGTAAGGAGCTGCGTCAAAAGACACTTCCCACCTGCGGTCACGCGGCAACGCTCCCATGCTACATCTGGCATGACCCAGGGAAGTTGACCGTACATAAGTGCGGTGAAACGGTCACAGTAAGAGGGTCATGTGGACATGATGCTTTTGTTCCGTGTCACAATGTCAACTACCGGATGGAAGGGCATCGTCGTTTACCAGCGGGACACAAATGCACCCGCGAGGTAATGAAGAATGCTCCTTGCGGCCATCTGGTTAAGGCAAAGTGCTTCGAATCACTGTCCGACCCGTGCCAAGAATGTGGAAGAGCTTGCTGGGCACTTTGCTTGCAACGCGGCTTACAGACTGCCGGTTGCAGCGGGATGGATGCAAGATGCTCTCAAAATGTTGTACCGCTTCCCAGCCGTGAGACAGCCGCGAAGATGCTCCCTTGTGGTCATCCGGTCTCCGCTGAGGGCACCACACTTGGAAGAGTCGCGGAGCTCGACTGCCAAGTGATGGTACCAGTCACACGCCAGTGTGGACACGTACTTCGTTTGGCTTGTTCCGTCAGTCGCCGTACAGTGAAATTTCCGCCGTGCCCTGAGATGGTTGAAAGACCGCAGCCGTGTGGCCACAAGGCTTATCGGCGTTGCGGTGACTCTACGTGGCTTGACGCTACACTGACTCGTTGCCAGCATGTTGTAAACAAGACCCTTGTCTGCGGTCATGTTTCTAGTGGCCCATGTTGGCGCATAAGTCGTGAATCGCGTGCGTGCGAAGCTTTGGTCCAGAAAGAGTTTCCTTGTGGCCACTCTGTTACGAAGCGTTGCTCCGACAGTAGCCCTTGTTCTTTACCGTGCACAGCCCGCCTTTCCTGCGGGCACACATGCGGTCAAATATGTAGGCACGCAAGGCACGTGTGTCGTATATGTAAGGACAAATGTTGCCTCTCGTGATCACAGAATGTTGGACTGTGTTATTTGCATTGGGCCGTTGGATGCTGCATGGCTTATCTAAGAAAAACTGTTTTTCTGTGATTATTTAGGAGAAATGTTTGCTTGTTTGCCTTTGACTTTGAATGAATGAATAAACTTTATTGCAGGTATGGGTTCTAGTACACCCAGTTGGAGCCCCTAGTCCGGGGCCCCATACGTGGTGGCCACCGACTCGGCACGCTCCACCAGCCATTGTTGGCCGGTGGCCGTGTCATCGGTCAGCCGCTCCTCCCAGGAGGTGGGGGATGGGTTGGGAAGAGGCAAGACAGAGGGAATGGCTTGGCATTGCCAGACCATATGGAGAAGGGTAGGACGATCGCCGCAGTGCGGGCACTCAGGCGGACCACGGGAGGGGTACACGTAGGAGTAGAAAAGGGGCGTCGGGAAGGTGTTGGTTTGGAGTTGACGCCATAGGACGCCCTGTCTGCGAGTAAGGGAAGGCTGAGGTGGAGGATAATGTTGTCGAGCGAGGCGTAGCTCAGCTAGGTGAGTCGAGTATGAAAAAGGGGCTGGTCGGATGGTAGCTAAGTCTTCCCCAGGTGCCCGGTTTGAGAGTTCTCGGGCGAGCGCATGTGCGCGCTCATTACCAGGGATGTCTGCGTGCCCAGGCACCCAGACTAACCGGAAAGTGTGGGAGGTGGAGGATAGGAAAGAGTCGAGTAGGGACGCAGTGAAGGGATGTAGGGTGTTGTAAAGGAAGTGGCGACAGGCTGTCTGGGAGTCAGTCAGAATGTGAGTGGGCGTGGAAGAGGAGAGAGTGGAGGTGGAAAGGATTGCGCTGGCAACCGCACGCTCCTCCAGGAGGGACACGTCAGTGAGACCACGTTCCGTGGCAGCGTGGACTAGCCTGAGATCACTGTTCACGACGACTGTGATCCCCCCACGTGCATCCTGCGGACTGGCGTCCGTAAAAAGGGCACGAACGGTATCGCAGCCTTCAGTATACGCGCGTCGGAGGTAGCGCGAGCGATGGTCACGCCGCGCCGAGTGACTGGTAGGATGCATATGGCGGGGAATAGGAGCCACAATGAGTTTGGCGCGAGCAGCGGGGGAGAGACCCGCAGCGCTAAGGGAAGCAGGACAGGGTGGGAAACCGAGGATGGCAAGGAGACTCTGCCCTTCAGCCGTCGAGCGCAAGCGCGTCAACTGGGCAACCTCATGCGCTTGTATAAGTTCCTCCAGGGTGTTGGTCACCCCAAGCCGCTCTAAGCAAACGGTGGCTGTGCGAACGGGGAGACCGAGCGCCAGTTTCTGCGCCTTCCGTAGTAGGGTAGACATACGTTTGTGCTCGGTCTGGGTGAGGTTGTGGTAAGGTAGGTGATAAAGTAGGTGTGTATGAATCAAGGCCTGGACAAGGCGCAAGGTATCTGCCTCTTTAAGGCCATTTCGGCGGTTAGAGATGCGGCGTAGCATGTGCATGATTTGGTTGCACTGGGTAGTGAGTTGGTGAAGGGTTTGCGTTGCCTTAGCGTTGGACTGCAACGTGAAGCCAAGCACCCGTATGGCCGATTTACGCGGGGCGGGTTTGTCATCTAGTGTGATGGTGAGGGGAAGATCGGTTTGTCCGCGAGCGTGTTTTGTCACGACTAGTAACTCCGACTTAGTGGGGGAACATGTGAGGCCCCCACGCCGGGCATATTGCTCGATGGTAGTAGCGGCTTGTTGTAGCTGAGTCTCTATGTGTCCGAGGGAGCCTCTCGTTACCCAGACAGTAATGTCATCTGCATAAATTGCATGGCTGACATCTGAGATCTCATCCAGAAGGGGAGGGAGTCCTCGCATAGCAAGGTTAAACAGGCGGGGAGAGAGTACAGAGCCTTGCGGAGTACCACGGTTTGCCACCGGAGCGGAGGGGGAGCGAAGGTGACCAAGAACGAGGCTGGCAGACCTGTCGCGGAGAAAATTGCGGATGTAATTGTACACCTTCGCTCCGCAGCCAGTGGCTGCCAACTGTTCAAGGACCAGATCGTGGGACAGGTTGTCGAAGGCTCCTTTAAGATCTGCGGCAAGGACAGCGCGATATTGAGCAGTGCTTGGAGCGTCTAGAACTTCGTGTTTGAGGCGGAGCAGTACATCCTGAGTGGAAATACCACTACGGTAGCCATAGAGGGTGTGGGGAAGGGCGGAGGTGTCGGCAAAAAATTTGTGTAGGCGAAGCTGTAGGACCTTCTCGAGCAGTTTGCCCAGACATGAGGTAAGGGAAATCGGGCGCAGGTTCTCCAAGGAGAGGGGTTTGCCAGGCTTAGGAATCAGAACGACTGTGGCTTCCTTCCATTCCTTGGGAAGGGTACCTGACTCCCACACCTCATTCAAGTACGTAGTAAGTTGAGTGGTGTCGGAATCAGAGAGGTTGTACAGGAGAGAGTAGCGAATCTTGTCAGGACCAGGGGATGTGTTGCGGCGAATGTCGGTGAGTGCAGCGCGAATCTCAATGTCCGTGATGGGCGCGTTAAGATACGGAAGATTGTTGGGGGAACCCGTGTAGTCCGCGTAGCGTGGAGTGTCAGGAGGGGGAAGGTAACGCTGTCGTAGCTGTGCGAGGCATTCGGAGTCTGTTAGGTTAGTAGCGTGGAGAAGTTTGTAAATGCCCTTGGCCCTGTCCGATTTGGCTTGGCCTGGTTGTATTAGATGACGCAGTAGGGACCATGTTCGTGCAGTACCGAGCGTACCATTGAGCTTGTCGCAGAGCGTATTCCAGTTTTGACCAGTGAGGTTGGCAGCATAGGTAGCAGCATCTACAGTGAGTTGTGCAATGCGTAGTTTGAGCTTCCGGTTGTGTCGCTGACGTCGCCACCGTTTGGTTAGACCGCGGCGCGCTTCCCATAGGTGAAGAAGGTGGGAGTCTATATCTGGCGCATCGGGAGTGGTGGTAAGGGTGCGCGTGTGTCGGTCTAGCCGGGTTTGCAGTGTCTGCACCCAGTCAGTGAGTGTGTCGGGCGAGGTAGAAGAGGAAGATGCGCGGAAGGCAGGCCAGTCCGTGATGCGGATTTTGCGTGCCTCACCCGCGAAGTCTTTGGTGTTGATATGGGTGACAAGAATGGAATGGTCACTGCCGAGCTGTTCCTCAAGGTTGTGCCAGGTGCAAGGTTTTGTGCCACGGTACAGGGTGAGGTCAGGACACGTGTCTCGTGCAACGCTGGTGCCAAGACGTGTAGGTGTCGATGGATCAGTAAGTAGAGTGAGATTGTGCTGTTGGATCAAAGTGTGCAGCTTGCGCCCCTTAGGTGTGTCGCGAGGGTAGCCCCAAGTGGGATGAGGAGCGTTGAAGTCGCCTGCAATGAATGTTGCGCAATCCTTGCGCCGTGCGGCTTCAAACAGCGTATCAAATCGTGCGTAGCGGTCTTGGGGACGGCTATAGACATTGAGTAGGCAGAGAGGTTGGGTGTTACGCTTGCGTGGGGAGGCGGGAAGGAGTTCAAGTAGGACATGTGGAACGGCCTGGTTGTCTAAAGTAAAGTCTACCGCGGTGTGAACGCGTTTGACTAGGGTGGCCACAAGGTGGTCCTGTTTGGGATCGTTAAGTGCCACATATGTCACATATCCAGGGAGATTAGGAAGGGTGCGAGGTTCTTGTAGAAAGATGATGTCGGGTGGGGGAGCGTGCGATTGAAGATACTGTATGAGGCTGCCGCGCTTTCTTCGGAGGCTACGGCAATTCCACTGCCACACAGTAAGTTCTGAAGAAGAATGTGGCGCGGCAGTTGCCATTTACAATGATCTAATAAGGGGAAGGGCCATTTGAAGAATTGTGAGTATGCTGCGGGCCCATTCTGCGTCAATAGATTCCAAAAGCTTGCAGATTATGTTTGCTGCTGTTTGAATTAGCTTCGGAATCCACCCCTTACTTGGGGCTGTGTCTGTTGACACGGACGGAGTTTCGCGCTTCGGTGTTCTTCGCTTTCTTGGATCGGCGGGTGTGTTTCCTGACGTTGTCGGATCTTCGACTTGGATTAGGTCAGGTGAAAGAGGCCCTTTCTTAGTCGCAGGTGCCTCTATTTTGTTACTTTTTGGAACCTTAGTTAGTGCAGCGTATGTAGGCCTCTCTGGCACCTGGTTCTCAGTTATGGTAGCCAAAGTGTCCTGCGCAGTTGAAGAAGGCCCTTCGCTTTTTCTGGGCAGCTCCGGCCATCCGGATTCATGAACTGCAGTTCTGGCAGTGCGGAAATCCACTCCGTGTTGTCTGGAGTAATTTTTTGTCTTTTTTTTCCTGCCGCCATTTTGAACAGGATGGTGATGTAGCCGAGTGTGCGTCGCCGCAGTTAATGCACTTTTCTTGAGCAGAGCAGGAGTCTCTGTCCTCATGCGTGCCGCTGCAGCGTTTGCACACCGGGCTGCGCTTGCAGGTTGCCTCTCGATGTCCATAGCGGCAACACTTGCGGCATTGAAGTGGATTCTCTTGGAATTGTGAAACTGCATGCCGGACATGACCGAGGTAAACGTAGCTTGGCAACGTCGATCCACAGAAGGAGATCTTGATCGCTGAACTTTTACCTAGTCGTCGAAGACGAGCAACTCTGTTTTCAGGGGATCTTAGGTTGCTGGTGATTTCTTCGTCAGTCAGCGTGGTGTCTACGTCCCTGATTACACCTGTGGCGCAATGTCTGGGGAGAGGCTCATACGCTCTGACTTTGAATCCACAGAGCACCGTGCAGCGTAGCAGCCCACGCGTCGTCTGACCGTTCCTTACGTCAACGGCAATGAGATTCAGGCGGTTGTTGAACCTGATTTCCGAGATACATTCAGGGAACATGTTCTCTAGAGCAAGGGACAGTTTTAGGCTACTGAGTGACGTAATTACGTGGCCCTCCTCTAATGGCGTGAATACGACAGTAAGCCCTTCAGGCACTACGGCAGCACTGCAGACTGTCTCAGCACTTAGGCTCGAATTAAGGCTAGTCTTTTTTCGCTTTTTTCTTGTCTTGGCATCTTTCCATTCTGGTTCGTCAAAGTCAGAAAGCTCTATGTCACTGGTTGGTACAATGACTCGACGCGAAGAGGTTGTGGCACATTGCTGACCTGGAGTGATGTCCTCCGCGGTATTCATGGGCGAGTCCTTGTCTTCTGATCCAGCGGTTGAGTTGCCAGAGATGGAGGAAGCCAGACTGTACTG